AATTCCATACATGGGAACATTTTAGTTGCTCCTGTTAAAAAGAGAGTTCTTCCCAGGATTGCCACCTCACCCTCTCTATGCCAAAGCACGCAAGGGAGGGCTTTAGGATGCCCCCTTTCAGTGACTTCTAAGAAGCGCCTGACATTCACACTGGGACCACAGAGTTCTGAAATGTGACCTTACTTAGTAGACATGTTTCAGACCTCAGGACTGCCCATTCTGAGACTGAAATGAACCATTTGCTAAAGAGTGACAGCAGAACACAGAGACCCTGTGTTCTTCACTTAGTCCACTCCCTGCCCATCACTCCAGCCTCACCAGCCCTTCTTCTTCTGGACTCCGTAAGAACAGCATGTGGACCCTTGTGAGGGCCACCTCTGTGATCTACTGCTAAGGAGGGTGTGGGTGTGAAGAACTGGGACAAACCGGGAGAAGCTGAGAAGGACTAAAGTCAAAGTTTGGGCTGATGACTGGACTACTGGTTCAGAACTGACTTGTACCCTGCATTTTCTCTGCTTTGGACATGATCACATTTGCTTTTATGCATTTCATTGCCCTTAAAAGGAAGGATTATGTGAGCCAGAGGGACCAAGGGTACCATGGGAACACACACAGAGTCAACTGACCTGGGCTCATGGGGGCTCACAGAGATTGAACTGCCAACCAGAGAACTTGGATGGGACTGATTTAGGCCCTCTGCGTATATGTTGCAGTTGTGTGGCTTGGTTTTCTTGTGGGACTTCTGGAAGAGGGAGTAGGGACTGTCTATGACTCTGGTGCCTGTTCTTGGGACCCTTTCCTTCTGCTGGGTTACCTTGTCCAGCCTTAATAGGAGAGGAGGTGCCTAGTCTTGCTGCAACTTGATATGCCATGGCTGGGTGACATACAGGGAAGACCTATCCTTTTCTGAAGGGAAGGGAGAGGGAATGGTTTGGAAGGGGAGAGGGGAGATTGGGATGAAGGACTGGGAGGATAGGAGAGAGGGAGGGGAAACTGTGATTGGGCTGGAAAAATTATTAATTAATTAAAAAAGAAGTTATTAACAATAAAAAATTCTCCTCTAACCATGATAGTCTTTGTGTCTTTCTTGATTTTTCTTCCTCCAGTGTCCTGCCTGTATGTATGTATGGGCACCCCTTGTGTGCTTGGTACCTGCAGAGACCAGAAAAGGTCACATGGTCCTCTGTAACTTGGAACTGGAGTTACAGATGATTTTAGCCACCATGTGGGTGCTGGGAATCGAACCCTGGTCCACCGGAATAGCAGCCAGTGGTCTTAATTGCTGAACCATCTATCTCTCTAGTCCACATCTCTTTATTTTTAAGCCTTAGAATCCATGCCCAGTGGCAAAGGTGGACAGTTCTTCTGCATGACTCAGGGGCAGCAGTTCAGAAATAGGAAGCCCTTCAGGCCCTCCTGGGCCATGGGGGAGACTAGCAGGTAGGAGAAGGAGTGCTCAACAGCCCATGTCTTATAGCAGGTTTCTGAGTGTGCTTTTATTTCCGAGCTCAAGCGTTTCAAGTTCCAGTGCAGAGCAGATGTCTGCTTCTTCCCTCACTCAAGATTGCTGTCGTTCCCAGGCAGCTACCTAAGTGGAAGGAACATTTCAGCGTGGTTGCTTCTCCAGCAGGAGACACTGGGCTTTCCTGGTGGGGCTTGGTGAGCCACCGCAGAGGCCTCGTTAGAATGAAAGCCACTTCTGCAAGCCGTGGGCACTTGCTTAGGATGCGTGTCCCCTGCATTTGCAGTCACGTCAGACAGCAGAGAATGTTGCCTTCCACTGAAGACCAAGTACATGATCCACTGCAGCTAATCAATAGGATAATGGAATGAATCAATAGGAAAGATTTTTAGAAGGTCTTAATTAAAGAAACACTTGCAGATACAAATGATGTCTTCAATCTATTGATAGTGCCAAGGTGAAGGGTTAAACACAAACAAAACCATCAACTTTATTTTGCCGGCATGCCTTCCACAAGAGAGCAGCCCAGCAGCCTCCTGGCCCCAGGGTTGGCCCATTAATCAGCCCCTTGTCAATTGCAATAGCCACACTGTATGGGAAAATTAGTCTATGATCAAAATTTTAATTACTAAGCAGCAGCTCAAAACAATGAAAAATAGGCATGGTACCCTATTTGGCTTTCCTTTGCTCCTAAAGCCGGGGCAGCGTCCCCTGAACAAGCTGCTCCTGCACTTCTGCACACCAAGTCTCCTTCCAATGAGATGCACAGAATTAGAATAATTAAGGAGAGCCTAAGTTGATGGATCCCACTTAGGCTGGGGGAATTCTCCAGTGAGCCTCCTGCTCAAACATGTTACATCGATATTTCTGATTCCCCCGATGGTCCTGCACAAGGTACTGGTTTAAAGAGACATCAATCTATGATGTCAGCATTCATCTAATGAACCTTCAAAAATCAATGCCCAGGACGGTCTGTTCCATGCAATCCCCCAATTTGTCCACTCCCCTCGCTGTACTCGGCTAAACCTATAGCCATAACGACCGTAAACGGGTGTCAAGTGGCCAGGCAGAGTGGCTGGATGGGAAGCGACTCGGAGTTCAACCTGGAGAATTCCAAGACACAGGGATCAAACAAGGAAGCCATGATGCTCTTCCTATCATGCAAGGAAGGGTCTTCTGACTCCAGACAAGCATGCCCAGGGCTGATCCGCATCTTCCCATTGTGCCCTCCAAACCCACCTCTTCCTTGATGCTCCCATCCATTTCCCGCCCTGGTCCTGACAGTTATGGTAATTTTTCTGCTGCTTTTGGGCTCCTCGACTGGGGCTGCCCCTTAGCTGCACTCCACAGGAGGCCATGCTCAGCTTTGCCCTTGTTAGTATTTATACTCAGCTCACCCCAGCCTCCGGTTAACAGCACTCCCTGACAGTCAGAAGAGAGGGCCCAAGCTTGTTTCGCTTCTTTTCGCCTCTTTAAAATAAATTGGCTTGAACTGGCTGCCATGAGGCTGAGCTACTTGGAATGCGTAACTGGGGGTGACAGCATGCCACTCACAACGCCAGTGTTTGGCCGGCCTCACAATCTCGGCTTTTGTTAGCCGCTGTTGTCTCTCTCTTGACCAAAAGAGTCAGTCTTGAGAGCCAGTACGGAGCATGGGCAGCTGGAAGATGCGTTGTGTGGGCTGAATGTGCTTCTGACTCCTGTCTGTCTCCGTCAGCGCGGCTTTCAGCAGCCTCTCTCACTGACTTTGAGGCCAATTAAGCTACAATGAAAGGTACCATGATTTCATTTGCTGGGATCGTCATGTTTCAGAAGTTCAGTAGCCTGAAAAATGTTCGCTGTCTCTCATTAAGCAGGTTCTGGCAACTGTGTAAAGTCTCTAATTTTGCTGTTTTTCCCACTGCTTTCAGCCCGGAAGATGGCTGCCTGTGGGGAGGATCCATGCCAGCCTTAATGTTAGAAAGGGCATTGGACCCCACAGACTAAAAAAAAAAAGCTTGAGAATGAATGTCAGACTCGCTCCATGACAAACACGAGTTCTGAGGATCCCTGTCAGGTCTCCAGAGTTTTCCCAGGACGATGCTTTCATGTGGGCATCTGTATGAGCATGTTTGCGGGCAGGTCATTCCATGCCAGAGAATTGTGATCTGTTTATAGAAACACCGATAAAGAACTACAAGGTGTTTTCTCAACAACAACAAAAGAAGTTTGTATTTTAAAACCCTTGAGTAAAAACCAGTTTCCATTTATTTGAAAATAAATACAATTTTAAGTCACATTAAAGGATGCATTGAGGTTGACCTGGGAAGTGCGGTGTGTGTGGCACCGGAAGACTCAATAGAGCCTTGCTTGGGTGTCTGTAGGAACAAACAGGAAACCAAAGCAAAGTGGCACAAAACCCCAAACCTGCCCATTCTGTGGACTCATTTTATGTTGCTATAGTTCCCATTAGTGCTCTGGCTGGATAAGGAGATCGCTCTGCAGATGGCAGAATGGTAGGTGCCGTTTATCGATTGCATTCTTCTAGCTGCTAGGCACTAAGCTAAGAACTTGGACATACCACCTCATTTTATCTTCTCCAAAACCCATCCTCCACACGAGGGCTCTGAGGCCCAGAGAAAACACAGACGACAAGGGAAAAAGCCAAACATGAAGCCTAGCTGTGTCTAACTCGGAAGCCCTCTCCTAAGCATTTCATACTTTGTGGTGGTGGCAAAGGCTGGTGCAGTCCCCACCAGATTCCCCAAATGAAAACTGGCAGGTGCGTGGTGACAGGAGCCGTGTCCGCTCCGTGTCCCTCGGGGTGGAGATTAGCATGGCCACTGAGTCAATTTCCACCTTGGCTAATGCATCCATTCCGGTGGACGGGGATCTTCTGCTGCTCCAGCCTTGCTCATCCTCCCATTTCCAAAAATAATGCTGGTGAGCAGGGATCTGTTTCCTCATTGTAAAACAGGCACAGAAACATCTCTGTCAGTAAACAGAGTCAATGAGTGCAGGTCGTCTGCTGTCTCCGCCTATGAAAATCCAATTTCCAGCACCGTTCGTGTGTGATGGTGTTCTCAATAAGCAAGCTCACCCCAACTCTATGCCACCCCCTTCCCACAACCAGACGTCCAGATTACGGTCACAGAGCTAAGCGTTAAATGCCCGGTTCTTTTAAACACCCGACAATCTCATCTGACTCCACAGAGGCAAAACACGGAACTTTCTTAGGCCCAGGTGTTGAGAAGGGCCCCAGCTGGTTGAGTACTGAAGGTCAAAGAGGCCCTGGGTCTGGCTGAGTGTGCCAAACCCCGAATCCTACAAGATTAAAATGTAATCAGAGTTCTTCCTCCCAGCTGAGGGACACAGATCTAGCCTTCCTTAAAACAACAACAACAACAAAAACTTACAGAAAAAGCCCAACATAGTACCAAAGAGATAAGTTTAGTGATGTATGCATAAAAATAATCGTGGCCAAAAAAAAAAAAAAAAAAAAAAGCTTTCATTTTCCTGGGTAATTTTGCAGGGACTGCACACGGTAGATATTCTTGCTTGAAAGATGGTGAGCTGCTTTCGCCTGCAGCAGGCAAGGGTTTACAAGACTGGGCCGCTGCTCTCTGCCTGGCCCCGGGAAGGGTGTGATGAACACAATCTGAAATCAATCGATGGCAGGGAACAGTTACTGCATCTCAATATTGTTTGCGGAGATGGCCTGCTGGAAGGAGAGTGGGAGAGAGAGATGTCGATAGCTTTAACGAAGCACTCCACAGCCACGCACAAAGGGAGGTCAAATAACTATCAGCCGACCAATCCCAATTGTAAGTAGTCAAATGATAAAATCAATATTATTAAATAAAAAGTTAGCACTGCTATTGAACTCTCTCATGATCTCGGCAGCGCCTGGCTGCAAACGAAGGAGGCTGTTTTCCAATCTCTTTGGTGGTAAGCAACGAGGCTCATGAACATTTGCACCCAGGAATTTTTCACACATATACTGGGCCACAGGAACCACTAAATAATACCTGGCTAGGAACCAGTGACCCCTGCTAGCCCTGGTTTCACATCTGTTCTGATGCCACCAAAGGCTGCATCTTTTCAGCGCGACTTTGCCACTGTGTCCTGGGTGGCAGAGGTTAGACTAATTCCAGGCTTTCAAGGAACAAAGAAAGGCCCTGCTTGGTGTCCTTGCCGATCTCGAGATTTAGAAATTTATCAGGAAAAACAAAATCGTGGGAGAGAGGGTAAAAGAGAGAAACAAGGGCATTTCATAGAGGACTGACCTATCCTCCGTAGTGCAGAGGACTCAGGGGCTGCGGCTCAAAGCCAAGGCTGTGCTCTTCCCTGCTGGGGCCAATCCTGAGGCTCAAAGTAACACGCAGCCAGGTACTAAGAAAGAAACATTTAGAAAAAAAGATGGCCAGTCAAAAATGCCTAGGAAAGCAGCAAGCTCTAGCCCTGCCTGTAAGAAGAGAAAATAAAATAAAAAAGGACAAAACAAAACAAAACAAAACGGAGGAATGCGTAGGCGTGAGTGACAGCCCGTGGGCAAGGCAGCATGTGCTGCTCTGACCTGCATTTAAACACACAGCTGCTTAGCCTTTTGAACACCCAAAGTTGGCTCCCTGTTTACATTTCATAGAAACTACTTTAGAGAGTAAACAAGAACCTTTGGTGAATTATTTAGCATACAAATAAGCCAGCAAAGAAGGCTAAGTAGCCTCTATGAACTAACTGGATTGAAATATTCATCTGTAAATAACCCTCCAATCTGCTGCTTTCACGTACAAATACTACATGGAACATTAGACACAACTAGCTTCTAGGGATATTTAGGCTCACCAGAGAGCAGTTTTTATGTCTACTGGCATCTGTGGGTAGTGATATGGACTGACTGTTAATATAACCAACATAAAATTTATGTGAGCACTCACTGGGATAGCAGCACACTGTCAGACAGCTGGTGGCTGATGCGGAGCACATGCGGATTTTATATGCACTGCGTAAACTAACCTTTGCAATAAAGACTTAGCAGGTTTATTAGTTTAGGAAATCGCTATAATTAAGGATAATTCATAATGGCCGCTTATCCACTCTCCAGCAATAGCTCGCTTAATTTAGGCTCCATTTCTTTGAGCCATAAATAAGTGAGCTGCTATCTTCTGCACAGATGTGGCATTCAACCTGTTCATGTTGGCTGCTTTTGCTTGTGTTTTAATCAAAAGCATTAGTAGGTAAGACTATAAAAAGCACAAGGTTTGAAATAAAATTAGCAAGGACTACATTGGCAAAGTTTATTTTTATCTACTAGCTTTCCCCCTCAAAACTAACCCCAACGTCAAAAATCTAACCTCCCCTTCCAGAAGTGAAAGACAATTACAAACAAATAATCCTTTAAAATGTACTACAGGAGCTTTCATTTAAAAACCCAAGGAGAGAGAAAGTGACGGAGCAATAACATTAATGAAGGCCAAAGAAATATGAGCGTGACCTCTCTACAGTATTTCCATTTAACTGCGCATGTAATTAAAGCCTGACCTTTGCGAGTGCGGCGCACTGGGCTGTGCAGCAACTTCCCCTGTGATCCAAGCTCTGCTGCAGGGAGAGGGGGAAGTCTCTGCCTTCAGTGCTTGCTGGGAGGCATGCTCATGCACTTGCTCCCTGTTCCACTGATGGGGATACTTTGTGCTGGCTCTTAGCTACACCTGATGCTCTTCCTCCACCCATCCTCTGACTCTTCCTGCCAGCCGGTACACTCTGCAGGGCATGAGTCAGCACAAGGCAGCCAATGCCAGAACCCAGGTCCAGAATCTCATCACCATCTACATTGACTAGCTGCGAGAGTGCACTAGCACTAGGTGCAGAGCAACGCCCTCCTTGGCCGGGTCTGAGCAGTCTGCAAAGGGAAGCTTAGCCGCCGCACATCTCCCCCAGGGAACTGCAGCGTGATTGACATGGGAATTTGGAGTCATATTAGGAGCGAAGCTATATGGAGACTTAAGATGCGCTTTGTTCTCAAGATTTCCACGATGGTGGAGTTAATCCTAGTGTAATGGAAAGGGTGTGGTCTAAGAGTCAGAAGATCTGGGATGCAGTCTCAGCTGTGTCACTCATCAGCTGCTGTGTCTCCCCAACAGACACTTAGCCTCTCTGAATTTCAGGGTTCCAATGTGCAAATGGAGACATTATTACCTGGCCATCTACGCTGGCTGGGGACTGCCGTTAAAGATCCAGAGAAATAATGCTGACAGATATTTTCTGGGACAGTACAAATTCTACGGTGAGTTCCAACCCAAGCACTCACTACAGGTGACACTCCAGGCCCTAGCTTCCCCCTGGGAAAGTGGGGCTGCCCTGCCCATCTCACTGTGCTGTGAGGATCAAGAGGAATGCTGTGCATAAGCAGCCAGCCAACTCACAAGGGCTTTACCCTCTAACTGGCCTCCTGGCAGCTTCCAAAAGTCCTCGAAGTCATTCAGACCAGAGGGCAAGGACTTGGAGCATAGAAGTAATCTCAAGTGTACACAGGAAATATAGAAACTACTTTTGAGCAGCTGTGTCCAAAATACCCAAGAGAAGCAAAGAAGAGAGGGTCCACACTGGCTCATAGTTTCAGAATGTCTGGTGCAAGGCTGCTTGGCACCCTGAGCTTGTGAAAATATCACTGTGGTTGTGATGTGTAGAGGTGGTGGCTCTTCACCTCATGGTCAACAGGAAGCACAGGGCACAGAAAAGGTACTGGGCATCAAGTACAATGTCCAAAGGCCAGTCCCCAGTGACCTACTTCCTCTGCCTAGATCCCACATAATAGTTTCCAGAACCTGCCAAACACAGCTCCACAAAACCAGACACTAAGCATTCAACACAGGAGTCTATGGGAGTGGGGGACACTTCATGCTCACATCAGAACAGGTACAATGCTGTGACCCCCAAGAAAGGGCAAAACATCATTTTGAAAATGTCTATCTTTCTCTGAAACAATTTTCCTATTCTTGGAAAGGCACTAAATATAGTGCAGTTTCCTCCACGAGTAGATTCACCTGGAGAGGATTAAAGAGCCAGCCCCAAGGTCAGTTAAACTGTCTACAAGAAATGCCTCCTTCAAAGCATTCTCACTGAGACGTTGAGACTGGGGCTAAGAAGGAAGAACCTGGCAACCCTTAACACTCCGTTGACACATACTGGTCCTCAGTGTTCACTACCAAGTGGGCAGGTGCACAAAAGAGCAGCAGCCAGAGGAGATGGGGAGTGCCTGGGGCTGGTGCCAGCACAGCCTGGCAGCCCTGTCGGTATCCTTGCCTTGGTGACTCACAATGATCAAGGAGAACAGGCAAGAGGGGCAAAAACCCCTGGGACAGGCCTTTTGAATCTGAGGAAATGCACAGCCAAGGAATGGCTTCTTACTCCCATTTCCTCACAGCAGCCCAAGAAGCAATGCGACCTTAGCTCCTGAGTTAATAAAAACACACCTGATGGTCACCTGACAGCCTTACCTATCGCCCCTGGTGGCAAGTGGCTGACCCTCTTTTTAATTCATGTTGAGGCTTATTTAATCAGCTGGGCACCCGGAGATTTATAACCCATTTTGAAAGTGTTCTTGGCAAAATAAAACTCTAATGCTGAGGCCTGTAAAATGCTCCCAGTATATGGGAGCAAGTGAGGTCAGGGAATGGTGGAGCCCTTCCCAGCCCCACACTCACACTGAAAGTATTAGCCCAAAATGAGGAACATATTTATCAGGAAAATCTTTTATTCTTTTAGAATAGAGTTTCCTTCAGGAGTCAAAGTTCATGGGAACATTTACCATTCTGGTGCACAAATTGACATTGTTAATAAGGCTTCTTGAAATTCAGACTTTAAATCACAGCTAGAATGATAGGGTCAAAACAAGTCACACCAAGAACTCAGGGTCAAACAAATAATGCTTTCATTGCAGCAGAATCACTTTAAAATATTCTCAGCCTCCAAAAGAAAAAAAAAACCACCAAACAATAAACCAAAAAGAAAGAGGCTGGGGGTTTCTAAAGAAATACCTGGCTCACAGCTCGTTAGACACATCAGGAAGACGCAGCATTGGGGACCCAGCACAGAGGTGACAGGAACAGCAAGGGCAGCTCCATGTCACCTTCCAGGAGAGACTGTGCTCCCGTCGGGCAAGCAGCCTGTGTTCAGGCTCCAAGCTAAGCTAGGCACATAGGCCCAAAGTTAAGGGCATTTCCATGATAAGGGCAGGTGGCAGATGTGAGGGTGAAGTGGGAGGGGGAGGAGGGGACTCACCTGGTAAAAGGCAAGCTCATTACTGTATTTTCCCCCCAAATAAGACCTTAGCAGGGCCTGGTAGCATAGACCCATAACTCCAGCCACTCAGGAAGATCCCAAGTATAAGACCAGGCTGCACAACTTATCAAAACCCCGGTCTGGGAATCTAGCTTAGTGGTAGAATGCTGGGCATAGCATGTGTGAGGCCCAAAAATAAAACAGAAAATCAAACATTACCTTAAAAGCAGTCAGAACAAGGACTTGACAGGTCTTGGGACTCTACCCCACCATGTTCCTGATGGCTGCTGTAGAGCTGATGCTGGACTCATCCTCTGTCCATTTTCACATCCTTCCCACCTGATGCAAGACCCAGGCCCGACCTACTTGAAGCTTTTGGATTCAAACACAATTATGCTTGCTCTGGAGTCAAAATACTTTTTCTAATGAGAGGGGAGCAAAAACTCTAAGGAGCTGTTCTAGTCCCTGGTCCTGTGTGTGAACCCCTGTGGAGAACTGAGTGAGGCTTTACTCTTACCCCGAGCTTTACTTTTTACTTCAGATCTGGTTCACAGCTCTCCAGTAAGATCCTAGTACACTGCCAGATAGTCATGACTCCATAATAGCTAAAATAAAGATGGTATATTCTGCCTAACACCAGCGACTCCAAAACTGTAAAAAGTGCTTTTTATCTGTGCAGCCTGAGTGGGAAATAGGAGGTCCAGCACTGATTCCCTCTGAATTTCTCTCGTTGAAGCAAAGCAGAGTCCCAATCGGTACGGCCAACCTTCCCAGCAGGAAGACAGACTGGAGGCTCCCTGCTTCTGCCTGCCCTTTACCTGCCACTGCCAATGCCAGCAACTTGGCAGTAATACTGTTTGTCATCATAACCCAGCTCATTTGATTTGCAGATGGGGACCCCTATTGGTGTGAGAAAAATCCCAGGGAAAACGGAAACCAGGCAGCACTTCTTAACCAATATACAGAACGTACCAATAAACAGAGCAGCACCCACAGTTGCACGGCGAGGAACAGAGACACGACACAGCCTTGAAATGCTCTCCTCTCTCCACATCAACAAAGCCACCCCCAGGCTCTGGAGCTAAACTCTTCAAACAGCCCAGGGGCGTGTGTGTGTGCGTGTGAGTGTGTGTGTGTGTGTGTGTGTGTGTGTGTGTGTGTGTGTGTGTGTGTGTGTGAGAGAGAGAGAGAGAGAGAGAGAGAGAGAGAGAGAGAGAGAGAGAGAGAGAGAGAGAGCGCGAGCGAGCACGCCCACTTCACTGGAGCTGCCCGTGTTACCAGGGTGGCAGTCCATCTCCGTGCTGACAGATCTCCATGTTGGGCAGGATTTCCAATCCTTCATGACTATCTATTTGTCACTGCAGGTGAGTGGTGGCACTCAGCCTGATCCCCGGCCACTTTCACAGTTACTTATCTGTCTTTATGGATTCATCCTGTGTGTCAAGCCAGCGCATAACAGCATTACTGTCAGGGTGACAAAACTGTCCCCAGAGTGCCACAAATGATTCTCTCTCCTTATGGCTGCTAGCAGATGGAAACAGCGACACTGCCTCGCCTCGCTCATCCTTCTCTGGCTATGGCTGGGCTCACATCCCCTCCTGCAGGTAGAGCTGGCTAAGGATGGGTGCAGCGGCTGAGAGCAGCGTTGTTCACCAGTGGACCAAGCAGAAAGGGAGAGGGGGCGGGCCAGAGGGAACCGCAGGCTTTTTGTGAGGAGCCGAGCTCTTGTCCTTCTCTCTTGGGTGTGTCCCTGACATGTCTGGATGCTTGGCACTGTGGAAGGGAGATCCTTCCTCTTCGATTCCCTTCCCGCCCCCCACATGTGCTACACAGTGAAGGGACGGAGGGCTGGGAACTTCTAAGCCTGTAAGTCTGAACTCAAGCGGCAAGCTGAGATGTTTAGCGTTGTCATTCTGGGAAAAGAAATACCAACTGGAACTAATAATGAATAAGATTCAAGAGCACTTGGGTTCGCCAAATGATTTGTAATCATTGTTATGAGTTGACTGCTTCAAAAATAACATCTCATTTCTTTTCTGTTTTTAAATGGAGGCCTAGTTCAATTTTCCTCCGTGGCCTTCCTTCAAAATGTAATTTTGACAGCCGACGTGGGTGCCTGTGGCCATGTTGCTTAGAAGGAAGGTTTTTTGCTTTTCCTTTATTTTAATTCCACAACAGCACGCAAAACTAACACCTCAGGGAAAAGCCTGCAACTGTGTGCTGCCACCAGGTGAGGAAGCCGCAGTTAGGAGCTGCTGGGCCCGGGCCAGGTACCCAGGCATTTCCCAGGCTTGTCCAGCACGACTCTCTCTCTCATGCCTCTCAATAGTTTCCAAGACCTCCCCCAGCCCAGCCCCCCAGTCAAGGGCAGTGGGGCTGAGCAGGGCAGACACATTGTATCTGGGGCTTCACTAAGCCTTCGGAAAACAGGAACTCAACAAGACACCATGTGCCAGGTGGGGCTGGGATGGAGGTGGGTTGGAAGGCTTGGCTTCCCCTTGGGAAGGTCAAGTGAAACACAAGAGCCTGTGTGCAGGTGCACACTCACAAACATACTTGCAGTTCAGGCGTGCCCCAAACTCAAGCTTTGTTCTTACCCCGATGAGTACTCCCGGTCTTGAGTTTTTTAAAATAGGTTCAAGCTGATTTCTGACACTGGAAAAACAAACCTAAAAGCAATTTAGAAAACACCTGCCCGTGAAGTCAGATGGCAAAATATCTAAAGCTTCTCTCGAAATCTGTGACCTCAGAGGCTGACATGGTTTGATGGGAAATTTAATGTAATAGGCTGCGAAAGCCAAGAGGCCTGTTGTCAGCAATGAAGTCTGAAAGTTAGCAGAATTAATAACGCCGTACAATGGAAGAGCCCTCGAGGGACAAGGCTGCAGAACCAGGGCAGTGGGGAAAAATGACTTTTGAAGTCATTTCACTATGACATTCTGTCATCACTGCTAAACGGAAATAAAAAATCATCCGAATCACCGCATGTTTCTTTGTGTGTCCTTCCCTTATCTAATATAAAGTAATAATACCCCACCCAGGCTGGGGAGGGACCCTCCAGGGATTCCGAGAGCTCCATTTTGAATGGCTAAATGCAATCAGAATAAATGCAAGTGGGAGTCTGTGCAGCAGAGAGTGATGCCTGGGCTGTTGCCCATCGAAAGCCAATAAATCTCAATGCTTCCACCAGAGATGAAAATGGTTATCTCATCACCACAGTGCCAGGGTGAAATTCTCTCTGAGCCAGAGTATTTTTATAGATGATTTATGTCTGCGAAGGATAGTTATTTAGCAAAATGGCAGATAATGATGAATAGAAAGTAAATATGAGGGGCAGCAAGGGAGCGGTGCTTTGCAGCCGCAATAGACCAAACAAATACCTCCGTAAAGAACATGCCAGAGATAATTGCCGCAACACTGAAACCAGCGTCCCTCTGCAACTGGGAGGGAAATACAAATGAGCAAGCCTGATGCTAAGTGATTGCTCTTTGTTGTTCCAGAATGCACTCCCCTGGAGTCTGCTAATTTTCCTGAAAGCATACTTTGTATCTAAGGAAGAGTGGGTAAAGCTCTGAGCACCGTGATTGTGATTGGATGGGAGTCCTAGCACAGCCTCTCCACTTTAGATCTTGCTCAAGTTCCTTGCCTTTCTAAACCTTAGTTTTCCCATCTGTGAAATGGAGATAATAGCACCGAGCTGTGTGAGGATTAATCAGGGTCATCGGTAGAAAGAGCTGCTACGATTACTGGCTTTGAGTTACCGCCACAAAAGAAAAAAAAAATGTAGCTATCACTATTCTACTGGGACAAGTCTCCTGGAGGACTATTTATTATCCTTTTCATTTTGTTGGGTCCTCTCCACTAGCTTATTCTTTCTGCTGAACCCAGAGTGAGATGGGCAAAGACTCAAAGGGGAAACTTGTAGTGCCCTGGCTGGGCTGGGGCCAGCAATCACCCCGCTTGATTCTGACCACTTGGTCATCGCAATCCTTAATTCTCAAGGCATAAGAAACCGCCACATTATCAAGCTGGAGGAGAAGCCGGGAACAAAAGAAATTATTCATGGAGATACAATGGAAAGGAAGTCTATTTTAAAAAGAAACAGAACTGAGTTTTTGGAGCCTTTGAATAAAAGATAAGTTGACTGCACACAGAATGTCAAAATGGAATAGGAGAACATTTTTTTTTTGTACTGAAGCACTACACAAGGAAAAACACTAATTACAGTTTTAAATGTCCAAAACGCCATGTCCACCAAAAGCCCCTGCTCATTAGTACCAGTAATTAACTTTACAACTGTCAACACAAACAGCACACAGGCTGACAGATAGAGAGTAGCTCTGAGGGTGCTAATAAATCCGGAAATAACAACTTGACACACAGATGCACAAAGGATGCAGGTGATAAAGAAATGTTGACATCAAATCTAATTATCTTCGAAACGGCCAACTACAGCACAAGCCACAGTAATGCTCAGTTATTGCTGCTGATGAGCCCCACTGGCACAGAGCTTAACCACCGCCTACAACCGAGCATTTACAGCCCTTGTCAGAGCTGGAGAGGACAATATCAAACAGGAAATTATGAGTGCCATGACCCCTCCAAGTCAAAACTCCAGTGATGAATATGGGCTCAGCAAGGCATGGCAGATTACCCCCTCACGAGTTCTAAAGCCGGGATGATATATGACATTTTTATCAGGCACTTTCTCAGGAATGTCACCAAGAGGGAAAATAAAGGCCCTGCAAAGAGCCGACTAGGTGAATTATGCAACTGTAATTGCCGATCATAACCTGATATGAGTTGAAATTGCTCTGTTTTCATATTGAGATAGCATAAAATTGTCGGGAAATGCAATGGCTCCTTAATGTGGGCTAGATGAGTCTAATATTCTGATCATTTTTCACTCGGCTGCAAGGTAAATCGAGCTTCCTTAACGCAGCCACTGTGGCCCAGGGCAATCGAGGGGCCCAATTTTACACTTGAATTGAGCAAATATGTGTAAACTACGATTTTTCATATTTTCTGCATGCATAAGAAGATGAAACATCTTTATCATCTGTATTGTCTGGCTGAGCTTATACAAAATATTAGTTTATCTCTCCTACTTGGTTCATCCCATAAGCGAGGCACATAGATCTGAAGGACAGGCAATATCCCATATATAAAACAAGCCCATCTTTTATGCCGCCTCATCTCACACATTCTCCTATTTAAACAACCACCTCCACAACAGAACTCCACGCAGTGGCAGTGTACGAAGGAAGACTTCCTTTTAAGGAACACAGAAAGGCCCCAAACACAACCAATCTGTCCATTGTTGTCCACGGTTATGCACAGGGGATGGAGGAGAGTCACATACTCCTGGATGTCTCTCTTAAACTGTCCCCTCTGTCCACTTCCAACAGGCACCCTGCGGAGGACGCTGCCACAATGGAGTGCTTTCCTACTGTGGCCTGTAGCAGAGGGGAAAAGGACCTGTCCTTTTTCTACGTCCCAGGAGGCCATGGGAGCCCACTCATCTTCGCTGTATTACTGATTCTGTCTGGTGCCTGGTTCTGTGTCTGGGCTCTACTCCTCTGAGGATGGAGAATGCGGGGCCAGAAAAGCTGCCTTTTACAGCCCATCTTCAGGCTCTTAGCCACACACATGGTTCATGGGCAGGGAAGCCTCCGTTTATAGGGAGCCAGGCCCTGAAAATGGGTCCAGTAAAGGATCAGCACCAAAAGTCACTAAGGAAGTGGGTTTTTAGCATTGTGATCTGATGACCATTCATGGATTAAGGCTTGTTGCCTGGTGTCTCTATCTGCATGGTATTCCTTAGATATATTCTATAGATGGATGTAGCTTCCACCAGAGTGGGCCAGGCTTGGTAGGAGGTTGGGTTAGGGAGATGAAGAATTAAAAGTCATCATTAGCTATGCAGCAGGTTTGAGGCTAGCCTGAGCTACATGAGACCCTGCCTTAAAACAAAACAACAACAAAGCCAAGATAATCCTATTTATTTCCTTTTATTATTTTAGTAATAAATTGATCAATCTACTTTTTTGTTCACTCATGTATCTATTTTGCAATACTAGGGGGTCTTGGGGAGCTCTCTACCACTAAGCTACAGCCCTACCCACGTCCTTTCAAAAATAAACTGCTTTATTCTATCAAGAGACCCCTTAGGAAATTGGATAGGAAGGCCAGACCAGGGGAGAGTAAAGAAAACCAACAGACTGGCAAGAGTCATTCAATCTAAGTCAAGTTCAGCACTAGAGTCTCATGACCAAGGGTGGAGAATGTCTTCAAGTGCTCTCTCTGCTGTGGTAGTCTTTCAGCTTGTCCAGGAATGCATACAACAGGGATGGAGCAGTGTTAGAACTGAAAGCTAAGCCTCTCACAGAACAGTGGAGGAGGACGTGCTGCGGAGGAGACAGGGGTGAAGGTGCGCTTCCATGAGACCACCTTGTCAATGTGACGACTCCTGGCATTCTAGGTTGCCTCTGTGAAGACCCACTGTACCTGCATGGACCTGTGGACCTGTCTGTGCACTCTGTCATCTCCATCTCAGATTAGAAGCTCCTTGAAGGCACGAATCTTGCTTTGTCACAGAATACTCAGCACCTAGCACAGTCCCTGGTTGGCAGTCAATAAGTAATGAGTGAATAAATGAATATGTGAATGAGTTGGTGCATGCTCTAACTGGTGAGTGTGTACATTACCGGATCCCCACACCCCTGCAAGTAGTAGCTTAAATCAACAGTGATTATTATCTGGCAGCTTTCATGTGAATTTGGGGCCTGGATGCTTCTGGTTAAACGTCTCGGCCAAGCATGCGATCACAGTATGAGCTAGGGATGTCACAAAATGGTAACCAACTTTCCCTACAGTGACTGGTCCAGGCACAGAGTGTTGGCAAGTGAGCACACTACCTTTTATGATTTACTGGAAGTGACTCACTAATCTGGCTCACGTTAAAAGGGAGTGACTTATACAGGCTGTGAGTATCGGGGAATGGGGGGTCATCAGAGGCCATCTTGGGAAGGCTACCACTGCCAAGTCCTAACAGTTCTATCCAGCCTATATTACCGGGTGCCTTCTGTGTAACACACCCATGCTGAGTGTACCAGGGCACCAGTCAGTGGAAGGCAGGTATGTAGCCCAGCGGTGGCGGCGGCACACGCCTTCAGTCCCAGCACTTAGGAGGCAGAGGCAAGTGCATCTCTGTGAGTTCAAGGCTAGACTTATTTTTTAAAAAAGAAAGAAAGAATAAAATCAAGTGTGATGGTTATTCTCAATTATTCACTTAATGAGACCTATAATCACTTGGGAGACGGCCTCTGGGCATGTCTGTGGGGTTATCCTGATTAGGTGGAAAGACCCACCATTATTGGTGGCGGAATTTCCTGGGATGGGATACTGGACTGGATAAAAAGAAGAAGTGGAGCCCAGCAACGCAGTCTTTGTTTCTCTGCTTCCTGACTACACATGCCGTGTGACCAGCTGCTCCAAATCTGCTGCCTTGATCCCCTACCCTGACCGACTGGACCCCAGAACTGTGAGCCAGAATAAATCCTTTCCCCCTGAAGGTGCTTTCATCAGGGTATTTTACTATAGCAACAAGAAAAAGAAAAAACAAAAAGAAAGAAAACTTAGTTACCAAGTTACATACCGGCCCTGCTCTCACAGCACTCAAAGCCTAACAGGGAAGCTGGGTATTAAAACAGCTGGACTGGGAGTGCGATACTGACTGAGGGTGAGGAGGGAGGGGGCATGTGGGTGCACAGAACACCCTTAGCTCGGAACATTTCAACTTGAATCACTGGTTACCTGTCAGACTATGATGTGATTCCGCACTGTCACTTTGGTCTCTTTTCAGTGCAGAGGTACACACTGTCCTGACGGCCACCACACTGTTGCCAGCGAGGGTGGACACTGTAGATACTGGGCAGGAACCAGAGATGCTTATCCACTCTCTCCGCGGTTAGAACTTCAGGCCAGGAAAGCCAAGCTTTTCTCAATTGCACAGGAATGACTTTAGATCAAAATACCTGCATTCCTTCAGTAAAAAACAAGTCATGGACAGAGACAGAGAATCGGCTTTCTGAGCCCTGAAGATCTCTTTCTAATCACTAGAAGACGGGGGAGTGAATTATGACCAGAGGTGATCAGAACCAGGTGAAATGAACCCCTCTGTGTAATATAATGTATTTGATTTTTATTTTGGAAGTAATAGAAATACATGAGGGTAAGGTTTTCTGTGTCTGTTTTTCCTTGTTGTGGTTTTTTAAATCCAAGAATCGACTTGTTCCTTCCCTGGGAATCTTTATTGAGTTGCAGCACACTCAATATTATTAAGAATTCTGATCAGAGGTGAACATGCAAAACACTCAACCAGAGGGATTAAGACTCTTTGTTAGTGTTTACGTTATCTGTTTTTAATTCCTATATATCCTGTCTTTATCTCAGTGTTTCAACACTAATTGCAAAACAGCCCTCACTCTCAGTAATGAGCCCCTGGCCCTTTCCAGACCTCTGGGCAGAGCTGCTGTAGATAAGGCAACCCCTTAACAAGGCTCGGCAGCGGCATCAAGGGCTTTTCTGCTTTCCCACTTGCTTCTGCTCATCTGGCCTTCCAGAGGCAAATCCAGTTCACTAAATCATGTAGTTCAGGGTGAGAGCTCAGTCTGCCGAGGGCCTCTAACCTCAGCCAAGTCTGATGAAATGAATATGCTGCTCTTGGCCTCTTCAAGATCTTTCTGGACTTCAAGTAGAGTGGGACGGGGCATCAGCATTGGAAAGCACCCATTCCATCCGGCAACCAAGGCAAGGCTAGACCCAGCTGGATCCTGCTGTGCAGTGAATCCTACCTAGTCCTTGGGTACAGACAGAAGCCAAATGAATCTTATTCTAGAGATTTCATTCTTCATCTCTTCCTCCCACAAATTTCCATGCTGCCTTTTGGGTAAAGAATGGTCCCTGGGTTCTGTCTGCACTGGAATCACAGCAAAGTGTCAAAGGAAAGCCAAGTGCCCTTCTATCAGTGGATTACTCAATTGCCACTTACCCTGATTTTATTTAGCAAGAGAGGAACTGCATTCTGCCCTTTCTTTCCTTTAGCCCCATTTTCCCACTCAACCATTTCTATGATTACAAATATCTCTCACTCTGTTTTCATTATGGAGACACCTACACATTGAAAGGGTACCTATTTCATCTTCCTGTCTTGTCTCTTCCTGTATGCCCCTTCCAGAGACTTAATTCAGGGACCGTTGCTAAGCAACTATACATCATAGCAGCCAGTCACCAATTACTAATTGTCCCCAGCACTTTAGCCTTACAAACCTGGACTGCCAGCGACAATGGCACAGTTTCCACGGCCAAAAACACACAGAGAGGTGTCATTGCTCAGTAAAGACGGAGACACAAGCTGCTAGGTACCATTCTCGAAGCAGTAACAAAGACTTCCGGTCTCACACTTGCCCAATCATTGCACAGGTCTGAGCCCATCAGCTCGACATTCATCTCTCCTTTCTGTCTAGGCAAGAAACTGGAGGTATGGCTGGAAACATCTGAACACTCGCACAGAGGAAAACATGGACACCGGCCGGCATCTCACCTTCCTTCCCTGCTGCTGTAGTTTCCAGCTGAACTGAGGATCTATTAGTAATCAAATTTCAGCCTCAATTTTATGGTTAGTGTAATGGAGTTAATTTCTCTAATGCTAGCAGTTCATGGAAGGGGTCTCTTGCGGCAGCACGGACCTGGGACCAGCGGCAGCTGTCAGTGATGCCGCTAAGGAATTCCTTATTAGCTAAGATGCAACCAGGCAGAAAACTCATTACACAGTGCTAAATATACTTAATCACATCTATTAGAGAAAAATGAACTTGATAATTACAACAAATAACTAAACTGCAGAAAGTGTTTAAGGGAAAAGAAAAGAAAACCACACCAGGATCTAAGTGTATTGGGGACCCTGGGCTGAACCACACTGAAGGGAAGCAGGAGCATACATACCGCTTTGTGCTGAAGGAGAAATGGTCTCTAGGTAGATGGAGCTGGTGCAAGTTGCCTATGAAAATGACGAATTTACATTTCAAAAGTGCCCTTATTTATTTGGTATGTGTAAAATTTTAATTGAAGAGAAATCTTCTGAGGAAAGGGCTGTGTTTGCCGACTGTCTCTCCAAGGTGTAGTGATTGGGGCGGTGGTGGGGGGGGGGGCGGTGTAAGGGAACCCACGGCAAACACTCGGCTTGATGAATACAGATCTGCAATAGCTGTGTGGCACAGACCACTTTCCTGGAGCCTAACAAATGCTGAGTCAAATTTATCTGTTTTTCTCTGTCACAAAATTGAAGTTCCCAAGTGGGGAGCCCTTTACCATTGCTACCCAAGGAATCTACTTGAGGAGTCCTGAAGGGAGCATCACCTACTCATTTTCTCAGGCTCTGACCTCCCTGGAGAAAGGCATCTATACTGTATGTGTGTCAGGGTAGTGCTCAGGGCATTGTGGGCTGAGGAACCAAGGCTATGGACTAAAGAATCAAGTTAACGTCCTCCAAGACCTGGCAGGAGATCTTCGGAAACTGGGAGAGGGGAACTAACTTGCCAGTTCTCTCTCCCTCTCATTCATTTTTGATATGTAACCCAGGATGAACTATATAGCCCAGGATAGCCTGTGTAGCCCAGGATAGCCTTAAACTTATACTCATCCTGCTTCAGCCCCCAGAGCACTGGAATTACAGAGGTGTGCTACCACACCAGTTTAAAAATGAGTTTTTTTTGCACACAGAAATGGAGATGCCTGCCTATCCTAGAGACAGGAATAGTCTGGAATAGGAATAGGATATACACTAGTCCACCTCAGAGTCCAGTTGCAAGAGTACTGGATGAGCAGAGGAGGAAGCTGGGCTTCAGCCTGGATAGACCCTTGACTCTGGTGTGGGTGAGGAAAGATGGACATGAGTTTTAAGCAAAAAAAAAGTGGCAGTATGATTTCATCTCTAAGAAAAATCTGCTGAACAAAAAAATCCACTGTCACCTTTGGCCACT